GGTGCGAAATATGGAAGAAACGCTTTACTCCAATGTTCGTTCATGTGCAGAAAATCTACAGTACTTATGGCATTTTGGATGGCGTTGGGATTCCGGAAAATTCTGGAACGCTACTAAACGCGACATGTGACTTTTCACCCTCTAGATGTTTCTGGAAAAACCCCTGTTGGATGCTGATCGGATAAGATGTTTCTCAGAGTTTTCAGAGCCCTTTTTGTTTTCCGAGGAAATTTATGGATCTCCCTAGTGGATGTCAGCCAATGATTATAAGATTGACGTCAAGTATCTTTTTGTTAGAAATCGCAAACAAAATAAAATATCGGGATTCGGTTGAGGAGTTCAATACTACGAAAAAAACAGCTATCTATTGGTCCCCGAGTTTCAATGGTTGCTTAAATAAGACCAATATGTGGCGTTAGCTATAAAATTTAATTATCCTGTTCTTTATATTCACCAAGTTAACAATTGTCGCTCATTCATAAACTTGATCTCCTCATTCTTTCACAAACTGCTAGATCATTACATTATGGCAGCAGGAGCTACTGCAGTACTTGATACCGGTAACCACTGTAACCTCTATGAAGCGAAATACGTACACGGAAACTGACTAAAGAACACCTATTTCCCCATCAAAACACCGTGTATTTAACAAAAATAGACTTTTTCATAATGATTGTTACACACGCTTCATGACACACTAATAAATACCACATTTAGAGAAAATACAAAGAATTATTGAAAAACATATGATCCATATCTTACTGAATGAAGCTTACACTAAATTAATACAAAGAATATTATACTGAGTAAACTCCATACTTAAATAAAATAAATGTTATCATAAACAGAATATTTCACTGAAAAAAAGAATATTACTCTGAGTAATTATTATACTGAATTAAAAAGGGGGTAATCTTGAATAACATTTACACTGATATCACATCCCGTCTTAACACAACACGTACCAACCCTTCGATATTTGATTTTTCTGAACACTTCATGAAGTAATATCACTCTAGTTTTTATAACTATAAAAAATTATAAGCGGAGATGGATGATGTCTAGAAGTGGGATCCATGATGCACGCTTCATCCTATTTAGAACTCCTGAGCTAAATGTACTTACATCCCAGAGTTAATGTTCACTCCAGGACTGATCAATTACAATCGTAAACATCAACGGGGAGATTCAGACAACCAATGCAAAAATGAATTACAAAAATTAGTTTCAAATTTTAACCATAATCCTTACCACAAATAAAATAAATAATGATTATAATAAAATTTAAAATAAAAATAAAAAATAAAAAAATAAAAAATAAAAAATAAAAAAATAAAAAATAAAAAAATAAAAAATTTTATTTTTATTTTTATTTTAAATTTTATTATAACTTAACTAACAATTTTTTATTTTTTTATTTTTTATTTGTTTTGTTATTATAGTTTATTATTCTTACCACTATCTGTTCACCTGTCTTCGTACTATCAACTTGTACTTTTACCTATTTTATGTGTAGTGACTTATTCTATTTCATTGTGATTATTGACTCATATTGCCTTGATTGGTTTAACATTTTCGTATAAATATTCATGTATATTAGAGTAAAGCCTGATGACGATTTAATTGAAAACAATTGTTCGCTTATATGTGTTGTTCTAATTTTCACAATGGGAATCTTTAATATTCATAATCCTTACCTCAGCTTATCGCCATAATGTTTATTTAATTTTGAATAAATTGAGACTCCACTTAATCATAAACTCCCAATTATACCCCTGACTTTGAAATACTAATTTAAACTCCGTCATAACAAAAACTGTTAAGACAGGTGAAACATACATAATTTAAAATCAATGTTAACTTTTAATTCTCAAGGACCATGAAATTTCAACGCTACGGAGAAAATAGTTAAGACCTGAAAAGAAATAAAAATCAAATGGAACTACTACTGTGCTCGATCATATATACATTTTTATCATGAACCTGAAGCAGTCAAATTAAATATTCCCATATTTTTGACTCTAATTTCTTTCTACTTAAAGAAGCAATCTGTTTAAAATGTTTCTAAGGAAACTGGATATGACAACAAACAATCCCAAGAGAGAAAATCACATGTTTGCAAACATAAACTTACGAAAAACCACACTTAATACACAGGTACTTCTTAATATACTGGTATCTGAATGATTTCTATCTGAAGTTTGTGCTGGTTATGTTGTTCAGAAGAACGATGGAAGCTCCATGACCAAACCATATGTCTCAGAGAACAAAACTCCATCAGAATGATTTCAAATCTTCCCGTCTCAATCAGATATAATACTATGAAAATGTACCTAAATGTGTTACTGACAGAATGTTTAAATAATATGATAAGTTAGCCTGTATTACAACTTGAAATCTACTGTGAGCTCTGTCGTCATCCCACCTTGCTGTGATTCCTACCGAAATAAATGAACACCAAGTGGCTGTAAACTACGTCTAAATTCTAAAATACCAAATACAAACATACACCACAAGATTTTTCAGAAGCGAAATTGAATTCATTTTAAATCGTTTGATATATAGACTAATGCAAAACTTAAATTGGTTTCTTGTGACTAGAATTAGCGTTTTAACTAAAGATAAGTGGGTTACAACCATAAGTGTGAAATGTTTGATATACTCATTGCTGAAAACAAGAAGTTAGAAGATTCAGGGTAACGTGGATTGTACACTTACAAATAAACATGTAGTAAAAAAGTTCCATTCTTTGGACCAGTTTTTGGTATCAAATATAATTAATAAAAAAACTGTTTACCACAAAGTATAAAAGTGGCTACGTCGAAGTCTAATGTAGATGATCGTTAATCATTCTGCTGTGAGGCAAAGGTTTATGAATATTAATATATTCTGTGGTGTTACGTCGAGTTGTAACGTGAAAAGATGTCTTCCGTACGATATCCCAGATACAAATATTTTCATCTGTATATCAGCACGTCAACCGTAATAAATAATGCATTGGTCAAATCTCAACGTAATATAATATTCATTTACCTACTGACATTAAATCTCAACAATAAAAAGGTTTAGTGTCAGTATCTTCTGATAGTGAGACGTACACGGAATGCATCAGATACACATTGAACCATATAGTTATATATAAAGCTCAAATAAATCTGCACACAAAATCATTTGTAAATCAATACTTCATAAGGCTAGAAATAAAAAACCCTAGTCAACTTATATTTTAGAAGGCTAAATTATGAAATATGACTTGTTTTCACACAAGATAACGAGAAGCTAAATAAGAATTTCGATTGGGAGTGATGTATTTCAGGCTTGGCTTACCAGCCCTACATGTATATATGCTAGTCAGCTTCTCAAATTTGTTGGAAAGTTTCATGTTTTCAAAAATACAGGGTACATTAAGGAGAAATAGACAAAATGCATATTAATCCAGTAGTAGTAACTAATGTTATGCTGTCAAGTATTCAATGCTCAATGAATTGTATCAATCAAAACACGGTGAGGCGATGAAAGAAATCCATCTGCTCAGAATTGTAAGTATTCCTTGGTGACGAACGTCAGTGAACTCGTAACATAGATTTAGGGATTACGTCGATTGCCGCTAACTAACACCAAAATTATTTTGTCAGAGCCATAAGGTATTTTAATTTTAGCCCGATACATTTTGGATGATCTGGTTATATACATAAATCTACACATCAACTCTTTACACTATATAGTTTCATCAAAAAGCGTTCTAGAAAAACAACATTAGAAATAACTGAACTGAAGGTAACAAACAGTACGGCAAGTTTAGGCCTTCGTCTAATACACTAAAATCTTAATCTATCCTTCAGTACACAGAGATCACCATTGTAAGCTTAAATGGTAAGATCCAACATATCTAACTCGTGAGATTTTTGTGGATTAACATCTACTAACAAAAAAGTTGACTTTCTAAATGTCGCAATCGGTTAGATTATGGAAACATTTGATGGTAAATTGTGATATCTAAGCTTTAAAAATATGTTGATATTCATGTCATTCCATAAAAACTTCATACCTGTGAGTATACTCGAAATTCACAGATGAAACTTAACAACTTATAATAACTATTAAAGTATATCTATTTTATTCATAATCCAGAAATATATTTACATGTTAAGTGACTGGGATTCTCTGATAAATACTGAACCAACTTACAAAAACACAAAGCACAAAGATAAACAGGTCAATTTAGACTTAACGAACAAGAGTCATCCTCACTAACATATATCAACCTCTTACCCGTGGGAACTGTTTCAGCATTAACTGTTAGTTGTATACACGATCGGAATTTCTAATGTTCAACATCAAATTATGGTAATAATTTTATTTACGGCTGTTTGGTTTATATATGAATTGTACTCCCTCGTCAAACAAAATATCATCGTTAATCCTATCAACAACTACGCAGCTTATAAACACATGAACAGCCGAAACACCTTTCACCATAAACCACTAAATAGTTTATTATTATTATTATTATGGACAAATCTCTACACGAAATATTTCCTTATTCAACATTCAACTTCATTCCGCTTAACAAAACAAAGATTGAATCTAAAAAACAACTTTTATTCAATCATAAATCCTACTCACTTTAAAGCAACAAAGACAATCAAGACAAAATGAGTTTAAACGAATTTCAGCGGTACCAAGTAAACAATATAGTACAGATCACATTATGTTACTGAAAACTTATAAACTATTTTAAAAAAGAGCAGATGAAATTTAACAACTCACTGATTTATTTTGTGGTATTTTTTGTACTACTGATAACTATATTAATACTATTTCCAATAATAAAATGACAAAAAGAACAAAATGAAATCACAAGTCACCTATACAAAATAAGTTTTAGAAAAAATACTGAGAAAAATAGTGTGCAAGAATAATACTAATTGTCATAGTTGTGGCGAGTAAGTCATCACCGGATGAAAGAGACAAGTTCCACCCTGTATCATATGTTCCATTTACAAGTTATCCGTACCAACACACTGCAAACAGAAAAAGAAAAAAGTAAGAATTACTATTATTGAAAGAAAATATTTTCAAAGTATGTAGAAATGAAATACATGTTCCCCTTGGTACATATGCGAACTAAGCTACTACAGCTATTATCGATGAATGACCATCGAATTCCTCTGTTAATGAACGTGATGTTTTATGCTTCTCGACCGTCAATTTACTGCACGGACTAGTGGTGGATTGAATTTTGTTAGTGCCTATGTACAAGATTCAAACAAAACATTTGGAATAAAGAAACCTGTGTGTGAAAATCGTCCCGAAGTTACCTACACCTGACTGAACAAGATAAAATGTTAGTTAATTGTCTAAACGTAACTAATATTTCAATTTCTCAATCACAATCTATCACATCAATTTATAACCTTTTCTCGACCCTAGAAAGGGGGTGCTTTTAATAGCCGCTTTAGTATCCCTCACAGGCAGTCCATAAATTATAGTCTCGCCTGTATAACATAAGTACCAATAGGAAACAGATGAATAATATGATCTAAATTTCTGATATGAATTGTCTATTATTAAAAAGTGACCACATGATATAGTTGGGAATAGAATTATTGATTTAGTTAAATTTCCCATAAGATAATGTTAACCTTTAGCACTGAGGAATCGTAAGATTTAATCTGTCTGCTCAGTGTACTTTTATTTTCCAGACATTGCAGGCTCAAGGTCAGGTGATCACAAAATATGTATGAGTCACGCTTAATACAAACTGAATGTTGAATAGTGACCAATGTCGTAATTATTTGGACCATAGCCGTGGTCGAATTCTATTGATCAAGCTCCAATGTGGCCACCAGTGGGACTCCACAGCGTGCACGATGAGCAGATGTTAGTTGGGAGCAGTTGGCAGGATGCCATGAACCTAGGTTTTGCAGCAATCGTCAGGAAAACGTACTCGCAGTCTTGAGATAATTGATTCTTTCTATGAGAGCAAATCGATTGGGACCCGAATAGCTCATTGTAACATATTAGACTGTAGAGCCAATGACGCTGGTTCGAATTTTATAGATGGAAATATCTCCAAGACTCCATATACGTCTTGACGGGGAATGGCAACTAGCACAAAACCAAGGCTTACGGTTTCCAGTAGGCTGCCTCCAACTAGCACTATTATTATTTATAGAATATATGAATTAAACCAGTACTTTACAAAATAAAGTGGGTAGTCCATAATTAGATGAAAAGGGTGTATTATGTTCACCTGGAGTCATTCGTTCTAGAAGATCTACTTACAAAGATAGTAGATGGATCATTAGGAAGGAAACTAAACAGGAAAAATAACTTTTAACGTACGCACCGATTAAAGCGACAAGTCACCCCCTTTTACACCCATCAATTTAACTACCACTGTGGAGCAAATATTCGAGAAATTCCGGATCTCTGTATGTCGTGATTTTTTAAAAATGTATATGCCCCAAATTGGGCCATCTGTTTGGAGCATTGATTTGAGTTTTGAATGTAGGACTCGATGAGAATTTATCGAAAAGAACGCTCTCTGTTGTAATGAAATATAATCCCTCATACGTTAAACGACACAAGAAGAGTTTTTTGTCTATTTAAGAACTCCGCACAATGATGAATGATTTAAACCGAACAACTGATCTAGAAATAAGGACTTTCGTTTAAATTTGATCAAATAGTTTCACAGTATTTGGGCGCCGAGTTGATGTGAGACATTAAAAAGGTCATCCAATCAACGTTAACAGTGTTTAAAGTAGGTATTTGCATTATTGTGTAAGAGACATGTGTTGTGAAACGAAGTGTCAAGATAACAAATTGTGTGTATACGTAAGTGAGAAGATAATAGTTAGCTCATAGTCCAATTGACAGATATGAAGAAAAACAACAGACATAAAGGTCATAATAATAAAAACTGAATAATAATCAAGAAAACTTGTATAAGGCAGTAATAATAATAACCGATTAGTTTAAAATTATAAAATAATAAATCTTAAAAAAATTCAGTAATAATCAAATGAAAGTGCAGAAAGAAAAAACAACCCAGAAACACACCCATTAAGGGAATTAGGGCCAAGGAAGGATGAGAGTTTGGACGAATCGTTTCTGTCACCCATCAATTCAACTTACCTTAGAAGCAAACAATCAACTTCATTTTCTTGATTTCCGATTGAAAAGAATGCCGAATGGTTTCTTACAGAGATATATATAGATAACCTACCTGGAATGTACAATGCACGAATTCCCATAGTTGGGTCACACTGAGTAGAAAGAGGAACTTAATTCACTCTATCCTCTAGGATCAAGCGAATTTGTACCAATGGCACAATAGATGAGGAACTATCTCAACTGTGAAAAACTCTCATTGGAAATGGCTATCAACCTAGATTCTTCGACAGCAACTTAACACCTAGACTTCATGAAAAAGCATCGACAGTACGGAAAAAAACCTTGTTTATGAATATGGAATTTTAAATGAGACACGGCTGCTGAAACCTTAAATAAACGGATTTCAACATCGTTGAATAAAACGTTCTACGCAGTCAAGCTCCGAATTGTTTTCTCTAGCCGACCGAACATTCTAGGATGTGTTAAAGATAAACTTCCGCTTTAGACCACATTAATGTGTATTTATAAATTTACTTGTTCATGTGGGGCACGTTACATAGGCCGCACAAAGCGATCCCTGTCCAAACGCATCTCAGAACATTATCCGGCTTGGCTTTTAAGAGGAGAATGTAAAACAATTACTAGTTCTATACAGGTGCATTTAATCAATTGTGGACAAATCGCTCCAAAAGATTCTTTTAAAGTAATCTACATAGTCAAAGGAACTGGATCAAACGGGTGTCGAATCAATATTTTATGCACTGCTGAGGCACTGACAATCCACGAACTCAAGCCTAAACTTTGCGTGCAGAAACAATTCGTCCAAACTCTCATCCTTCCTTGGCCCTAATTCCCTTAATGGGTGTGTTTCTGGGTTGTTTTTTCTTTCTGCACTTTCATTTGATTATTACTGAATTTTTTTAAGATTTATTATTTTATAATTTTAAACTAATCGGTTATTATTATTACTGCCTTATACAAGTTTTCTTGATTATTATTCAGTTTTTATTATTATGACCTTTATGTCTGTTGTTTTTCTTCATATCTGTCAATTGGACTATGAGCTAACTATTATCTTCTCACTTACGTATACACACAATTTGTTATCTTGACACTTCGTTTCACAACACATGTCTCTTACACAATAATGCAAATACCTACTTTAAACACTGTTAACGTTGATTGGATGACCTATTCAGTATACAGTGAACCTGAGAACCATGCACCTATTTATATTCGATAATTTTCATGTTTGATTATATTTCCTTGAAAAAGCTTGGACCAGATTGCCAGGCGAAACGTTGGATTTACGTCAAATTTTCTCGCTGAGATTTTACAAATACATTCTTCCTCTTTAATTGATCTAGAATATATAATGATATATACTTGAATCTAACAATTATGCTAATTAAGACATCAGCAGTAAACAATGTCATATCATCTAGCAATTACTACAGATCAAGTTTGATTAAAAATAATTTTTAGTCTATGTGACTAAACATCCCAGTTCATAATTACGCTAGGAAGTTAGGAACGACTGGTAGGGTCGTAGATGTCAACGATGAATAGTCTCAATACTAAGCCAAAACATTTCCCTATGGCCCTCAACAGTCGTCTAACGAAGTCTACATAAACCAGCATCAAGTATCTATCTTACATTAAACGATATCACATTTAACTGAAAAAAATTGATTGACCTTAATTAGACGAATATTGTACGAAAATGAACTCTTATTCTTAAAAACATTAGTATCTGTTACGTAACCATCGTAATCTAGTGCGAATGAGATATAAAAAGTACAAAAAATCTCAACAACCAATCTGTATTCTTGTATAAAATATAACTTTCAAACCCTGGAAACAACACTACAACAAGATTATTACAAAGCAAAATGACTAAATTCATATGGGTGTATCGAAGTAAACTGAATAGAACACAAATATGAATGAACGAGAATCAATCAATTATGAACATTTATTTAGTCATAATGGGGAGGGGTTACAAGATAATTTTTAAAATAAGTTCGCAAGTTGGAGTTTATAAATTTTGAAATCACAAATATTTGATGTATGTACTACAATCGGTTGAGATTGTGTGATGAATAATCAGGATAAATATATAGGTGAGAGTGCGTGAGAAAAAAAATTAGTTCCTTTAGTAAATTTCGATAATGCAATGTGTAGACGAAGGGTAACAAGATTATGAGATATATTTGCGCAATGCATTTTGAACAATCTGATCACACATATACTTGTTAAGACATTTTTATATAAAAATTAAAAGGTCAACTAGACAGATTAAAGGTAAGCCATAACAAAGAAAAATAAAGTACATAAAACAATATGACAGCCACCCTGGATAATAAGTCAGTACTACCAGGGTAGGTTAAGTGTGAGGATAAATTGTTTTTGAACGCATAAAGACGGTTTCAATTTCCGTATAGTCAAGGTCTCAATAAACCTTAGTATACGCCCGTACTGGCTGATGTGTTTATAGGATATATTGAAGATCTAGCTGAAGACTCAATTCAAAAGATGCGTCTGTATAAACGGTACGTTTAAGACATAATAATCATAGGGGATAAACGTAAAAATCTGAATTGCTTGTTAAAGAACTCAATACAAGTCAAAAGCATATTTCTCTTACATGCGAAGGAGAGAAGAATAACCAGCTTCCTTTTTTAGACATGCTGATTAGTAGAAGAGATGGTGGTTCCACAGAATGTTCTGTATACAGAAAGCCGACATGGACAGGGCAATATCATAATTTGCATAGTCACTGCCCAATTCATTACAAATGTGAATTAATAAAGGGCTTATTCGATAGAATCAATCATATTTGTACTAGCGATACCATTGAAGTAATTCCAAAGCTCTTGACTGAAACATTCATGAATAATAGTTATCCACTTAAATTTACAAACCGCTGGAACAGTTACAACACGATTAGACCTATGACGCTTCTGGCACCTAAAAAGTGAGTTTACATCATGTTACCATTTAGAGACGACTCAAATAGTCTCATGTAGAAACGGAGACTTAAATCAGCAAACGTGGTCTGCAAGTAAGGGTGACGGAACACATAATCAAATGGCCGCATAGACAAATGAATTCCAACGATCAAATAAGATCACAGGATAGACAGACATCTCCCATTGCCAAACATTTGGTTGATACTGGTCATAAGGTTGATATCAAGTCAGCATTTGTCTTGTTGTACAAAAGCCTTCAAGGGCGCGTACTAAAGTTTATTGAAACCTTGGCTATATGGGAACTGAAACCCTATTTATGTGTTCAAAAACAATTTGTCCTTACACTTAACCTACCCTGGTAATACTGATTTATTATCCAGAGTGGTTGTCACATTGCTTTTGTGCACTTTACTTATAGACAAAGATGAATAGTGGCTAGCAGTGAAATCCAGGACGCGCGTTTCGTCCTACTTGGGACTCGTCAGCTGGATGTACCTGTATCTCAGAGTTGATGTTCACTCTGGGACTAGAACCCAATACCGTTCGCTTCAAATGCTATGGCGTTATCCACTTACCCACTAAGTCCACAGTATGCACATATGCCAATGAGACTGGTCAACTGTAGTCCTAAACATCAGTGAGAAGATTCAAGTAAACAATGCCAAGTGAATGTACTTATCTTTGTTACGGCTTACCTTTAATTCGTCTAGTTGACCTCTTAGTTCTCATATGTGTGGTCAGATTGTGTAAAATGTATTGCGCAAACATCACATAATCTTGATACCCTTCGTCTTCTCATTGCATTATCGAAATAATAATATAAGTACTAATTTGTTAATAATTATAATCTCATATCCTGAATTTTCAAAAAATGATTGACTATTTATTTTGATAATCAATCAAGATTTAAAACTGCGAAATCTGATTAGCTAGGATATAATAATACATTGTTGAATAAGCTTCACCTTATTAATAAACATAAGTTCTGTACACGTGCGTAGTTCTAACAAGTTATATCATCTATAACATATGTCACTCCTTTTTTCACTACTTTCATTTGATATACCCTTTGGCCTATATCAGTCACTAACAATGTTTTAACTCTACTTTTTATTGCATTTCATCTGTCCAATGACTAGTTACTCACTACATTTTATGAATGACCGAGACGGTCATATGATCATTTGGTCATGGATATTCAGTAGTTTAGGTTCTGATCGTGGGGACCCCTCACCCTAAATGCTCAATTCAGGCAAATGTTGTTTTGTCTGTCTGTTAGCCCTTTTCATAATCTCTGGTTTGATGGAATGTTCTAACAAACGCCTTAACTGAAGTACGATTCTTAGTAATAATTTGAACGTATTAGTAACATATAAAGGTTCCTGGTTTTGAATTTAAACTGGATAAGTATCGATCTACTGCGTCTGCGTCTTGAATCACATCATCATTAATGCTGGTTTAGATAAAGCGTGAAATCTTAGTGAAAGTCTGCAGTTTAATCCGAATTTACAACATAGTTTAATAGTGAATAAAAGTTTAAATACTAATTATTCCAATTATTTTTACCCAGGACATACGCTGAGGGGAAATGTACGTGTATTTATAACCCAGAAAACAAGCATACATATTGAGAAGAAAAATCCCCTTTACTAAGTGTAAACACTAGTATTGTAGTGGACGCTACCCATGAAGGTGTTTGTAAGTAGTGTGTAGCGGAACATGACATGGAAGTTGTAGCAATTACCAGACAGAATGAGGAGTTTCACTGCATCAAAGCACGGAGTTAGCAGAACACTTGGTGGTCAGTCTCGAAGACAGTTCAGATTGCAGAACTCCTCTGCCTAATGTCATTGTTATATCCGAGTGGAGATTAAATTACAGGTAACCTCCGAGGACTATTCATGGACTAATATCCTATAAATATTCTTATTGTATAACTATTCAACAATTACATTATGTATATTTATATCCCTCTTATGACAAGCTTTATTTTGGCCTATAATTTATTATTGTACGATTTACGGTTCTTAAGTTATGTTCAGTTTATTACCTACTGCCTCCCACATTCACAGCCACTTTTTGGGCTTATTTGTGTACAAATATTATTTCCTATTTTATGGTACGTTGCGGTCTGTGTGATTGATATATAAACCAAGTATGCCTGAAATAAACGATCTGCTCTGATTCGGAAGCTGGTATTTTGTTCTGGACTCAAGTGGAAGGGCTCGTAGGACATAGGACCAATAAGGACGCTAAACTGCCCACACCGGTTGAACGTCATTGGTTGGCCTAGTGTGAAGATTCGTATAAGTCGTATTCGGATTGGTAGATAAATCGTGTGATCGAAAAGTCAGACATCCAAGGTCATAACAATTGGCGACGGGGTGGAGGAAAGTTTTGAATCCTCAACTTCAAGGTCATAACAGTCATGTTTTACAATATGACTAAAACAAAAGTAACTGATAATAAGATCAAAGTTTTTTTCTATAAAACACTGACTAACCTTATCAGCTGTAGATGAAGTTGAACTTGTACTATCTTGAGATCCCTGGGGTGGAATGTAATCATTTCCTTTTCTAGATAACTCTTTAACGGTACTGTATTGACAATAATGAAAATACATTCAAAAGAATTACTTTATTATTTAACGTCTTTCGTTTGCATATCAATATATAAAACAACTAACTATTAATGATTAACAATGATTATTTGCATATCTTGATTTGGTGCAGATTTATAGTTCAGTTGGATGATTTTGATGGAATTTTGTCCTCTCAATTGGTTAGTTTAGACATAGAGCTTTTATTGTCCTTCCAATCAATAAACAACAAGACAACAGTCAACAAAATCCTATCAATAAGCTATCAGTTACATGGACAGAAATTTAAATAACTCATTTCTGTTTAAAGCTTGCGTTGATGAAGTTGTCCAGAAGGACAACGAAAACTTCATGAATAACCCATATATGAAAAATGTTAATGTTAAACTAAGCAAGGCAATTGGTGAATCAATAACAACGATGAAATAAATTATACAAGTGAACACAGTGAGTAAAAAGTACAAATCGATATCAGGTCAAGAAGACATAGCAGTAACTATACGAATAATAAACATCTTCAAAGCATGAGCAAATATTTTGGCATACGGCAACAACGGATAAGTTCCAATTATCGGCTAAGAAATCGCAAACCTTTTAAACCTTCACAAACGTGTTACCAGTAAGAAGGCTTGAGTGTAAGTAGTGAAATATTATATAGTATAATCATGAATCGACGGTTGCTAAACCCAAATCAAATTGAATTAGCAATTGTTTACAACAGATTGATTTTAGTTGAATAACCATCAAAAAGCAAAGAATATTTTGTCCTAGTCTGAGACTCCTAAGAATCGGACACCTAAAACCCTACCTGGAGGTTGAATTTAAGACTTCCAGGCCTTACAGTGAGCGTACTTCCAACTTCAGACCTCCGAGTCAGTGCATAATCACTCCGCGTTTTGAGTGTCAGTAAACTCGTGATATGTGTGCGACGACTATCAAACGTCATCGGTGATATCTGACATGGTTGAACTTCACTAGTCACGACCTCCAGATAGGATTTCGAGAACATATCTCCAGATTAGTCACTAAGGTGAACATAATCATTGTTTCTACTTGGCTGGTGAGTAAATTGGTTATCCAGATAGATGTAACATGAACAATTTGTTTTACCCAATTGAATTTATCTAGATACAGTGATCACTTGACAAAAAAAAACGGTTGTCTTACGTTGTATTCACTTTGGTTTCGTTGATGAAACATGAGGATTGGTATATGTGGTCCTACTACTATCTATGCCACGGATAATGATTTTTCAAGGCTATTGTCAAAAACAGGAATACATTTTTGAAATTTAAGAATAAAATAAGTCTTTATCTCATAGTGAGCAATAGCATAAACAGTCTGCAACTACCAAACGTTAACACCTAATAATGAATTAATGCAGTCTTTTCTGCTATACTATATAATTGAATACTAACTGATGAAAACCGATTTTCAAACATCTGTATGTTATCCCCGAATGTGTCAAGAAGTCCCTGCATTGTATCAGTATCAGTCATACAGGAAGACCATATTCATTTTCTGATTACAATTATTCCTTGTTGATACAAAATCACTACTTCGTCGAGTCTGGGGATAGGAAAACGTAATCAACCAGGTAATTTAAGAATACGTTAAAAGTTGGATAGGTTGAAATTATTTTAGGGAAAAAATCTTAGGTATTTCTGTTTTAAACGAGATTTCACCTGTTATTTAAGTAATTTAAAGAACGAAACTATGCTCATCCTATGATATTTAGCACGTGAACGGTTTCATCGGAATCTGCTCACAAGTATGGTGGTCGATAGATTCTACAGTGTTTGGAAAAAAATCTAACAAATTTAAACAGACAGTAGTCTGAATCAACGCTTTAAATACGTACAATTGACTGAATTCTATTTGTTATTGAAAAGATAATCTTCATAATCTGAAAACATTTGCAAGCAAATTGTTCAATTTTTCGGTCAATTTAGATGTAAAGACACGTAGTTTTGAGTATGAACTTCATTAAGTCGAAATTCAAATCCCAACTAATAGGAGCAATTCTGGAATTGATATTATAGCATTACGATAAACAAAATCACGAGTAGTTACAATTTAAGTAGAGAACTGCATGGTTTCATTTATTTCATCGGTAAAATATGATGACTGTCACGTAGTTAGATGTTAGCTCAATTATTTTTAACCAAGCTTCTCAGTATTTTACAGAAAAGGTTTTCAGAGAATTAGCTCTCTTAATGAACTTGAATGTTAGAACAATATGAATTCACCTAGTTTTATGACTTCTCCTAGGTTGCTTACAATTGTATTTGCATAACACATGTCTACTATTTAATATTATATCATAAAAATACGGCTGTAAACAGATTAAGAGCAAACACGACAGAATAGACTGTGATAAGTTCAATTGGTGTTGTTTGCTTGTATCTTCCAATTGCTAATTAGGACTGCAATTAATCAGTCTATTGTCGGTATATGTGCATCCTGTGCGGATCACCTCGATATTGCCTTAAGTCACAAGTTTTATAAGCAAAGATGGATAGTAGCTAGCAGTGGAATCCATGACATGCGTCTCGTCCTATTTGAGATTCGGACCCAGTAACGTTCGCTTCAAACGCCATAGCGTTAACCACTTAGCTACTGAGTCCTGATAGCCAACTGCTTGTGCAATAGGGTGAAGTTTAAATTCACTTGGTGGTTATTCAGAAGAAAAAAAAACTTGCCAATCAATCTGTAATCCATCATTCAGTTTTCTATTATACACTTCATCCAAATTACATAACATTGTAACGCCAATGAAAAACGTGACCACTACTGTCAGTGTAAATTATTGTAAGCAATGTGATTAATCAACCAAAGTGCGATTAACTGTTTTCATAGACTAGATTTGATACATATGTCACACGGGTACGAAAGTGTTATGTCCCGACAAGAATAATGAATGGTAACCTTTGGGATCTATTGATGGACCAATACTGTACGTATATTTTTATCGTATAATTGTCAATTAATTAAAATATTCATATTCATGTTCATCTTATCATAAGCTTTATTTTAACCTATGAACTGTTATTATACGATTTTCCATTCTTGAATTGTTCCTTGTCAATTAGTCACTGCCTCCCTCATTCACAGCCACATCTGGCTAGTTCTCGTACAAATGTTGTTTCATATTTTATTGGTACGTTGTGGTCTGTTTGGTTGGTACATAAACTCCGTATGTTTGAAATATAATGATTCATATTGCAGAGGCTGAGATTGGCGTTCTGGGCTTAACTGGCTGGGCTAGGCGAAAGCAGGGGTCTAGACTGCTCGTACGTGTTTTACGCGTCCTTGGTTCGATTGATAACTCGCTGCTTCTGATTGGCGGCTTTGGGCTATAACAGAAGGTCATATGAGTCATGTTTTGCTTCAGGCATACACAATTTATCAATTAACCACACAACAGTTGTAGAGCCTAGGATGAGTCACCATGTGGGACCAGACATAATTAATAGACATGTCAAATTTGTTCCCTTAGCTTAGAACACAGAAGGAGTTTATGGCGTGTTTTGTCACGAGTTATTATCAGTTGATGCCAATCCGTGACAAAAACCACTTTTCTATTTAAATCGATATACCTACAACCTTACTTACTTACTTACGCCTGTTACTCCCAAAGGAGCATAGGCCGCCGACCAGCACTCTCCAACCCACTCTATCCTTAGCCTTCTTTTCTAGTTCCATCCAATTCTTGTTCATTTTTCTCATGTCTATCTCCATTTCCCGGAGTAATATGTTCTTTGGTATTCCTCTTTTCCTTTGACCTTCAGGATTCTATGTGAGGGCTTGTCTTGTGACGCAGTTCGGTGCTTTCCTCAATGTGTGTCCTGTCCACTTCCAGCTCTTCTTCCAGATTTCTTCCCCCGCTGGAATCTGGTTTATTTTCATATTAAGTTGTTGCTGATAGTGTCCGGCCAATGGATCCGAAGTATTTTGCGTAGACAACTGTTAATAAACACCTGTATTTTCTGGATGGTGGCTTTCGTAGTTCGCCAAGTTTCCACCACATACAGTAGAACTGTCTCGACATTTGTATTGAAAATCCTGACCTTGGTGTTGGTTGATAGTTGCTTTGAGTTCCAGATGTTCCTAAGTTGTAAATATGCTGCTCTTGCTTTGCCGATCCGCGCCTTCACATCTGTATCAGATCCACCATGTTCATCAATGATGCTGCCCAAATACGTAAAGGTTTCTACATCTTCCAAATCTCCGTCAATTGTTATTGGATTGGTGCATGCTGTGTAGTATCGGAGAATCTTGCTTTTCCCTTTGTGTATATTGAGACCTACTGCTGCTGCTACACTGTTCGTCTTCTCCTGCATTTGTTGTTGCGTTTGGGATAGAAGGGCCAGATCACCTGGGAAGTCTAGATTGTCTAACTGCATCCTAGCTATCCACTGTATCCCGTGCTTCCCTTCAGATGTTGACGTGTTCATGATCCAGTCGATCACCAGGAGAAAGAGAAAGGGTGAGAGTAAGCAACCTTGCCTAACACCGGTCTTCACTTCGAACGACTTTGTCAACTGTCCTCCATGCACGATTTTGCAGTTTAATTCATCATATAAGTTCTGTATGATATTGACTATCTTCTGAGGCACACCGTAGTGTCGAAGAAGTTTCCATAGTGTTGTTCTGTCCACGCTATCAAATGCCTTTTCGTAGTCAATGAAGTTGATGTAGAGTGATGAATTCCATTCAATTGATTGTTCCACAATGATCCGTAGAGTTGCGATTTGGTCTGTACACGATCTATCCTTACAGAATCCTGCCTGTTGGTCACGAAGTTGGGCGTCTACGCAGTCCTTCATCCTGTTTAACAATACCCTGTTGAAGACTTTTCCCGGTATTGAGAGAAGAGTGATGCCCCTGTAGTTATCACACTTGCTGAGATCGCCTTTCTTCGGTATTTTGATCAGGAGTCCCTTCCAGTCTGTTGGTACTTGTTCCTCATCTCAAATCTTATTGAAGAGAATGTGGAGTATCCTTGTAGTTGCCGCTACGTCTGCTTTTACTGCCTCTGCTGGAATGTTGTCCGGTCCTGCTGCTTTGCCACTCTTGATTTGTGTGATGGCCATGCTGATTTCTTCAATTGTTGGTGGGCCAACATTGATTGGGAGGTCCGTGGGTGCTGCTTCGATGCTGGGTGGGTTCAGTGGAGCTGGTCGATTCAAGAGTTCTTTGAAGTGTTCTACCCACCTGTTTTGTTGCTCTTCAATGTTGGTGATTACCTCGCCTTCCTTGCTTTTCATTGGTCGTTCTGGTTTGCGGCGATTTCCAGAGAGTTTCTTTGTCGTGTCATACAGTTGTCTCATGTTTCCTTCTCTTGCAGCCTTTTCCACCGTCGTTGCTAAATCTTCCACATATTTACGTTTGTCGGTTCTGATGCTCCTCTTCACTTGTTTGTTTACTTCTGTGTATCCAGCTTGTGCCTTGGCTTTTTCTGCTCTTGTTCGACTGGTATTGATTGCTGCCTTCTTGTTCCTTCTTTCTTGAATCTTATCCAGTGTATCAACAGTGATCCATTCCTTGTGATGGTGCTTCTTGTGGCCCAAGACCTCATGACATGTTGAAGGGATTGCCTCTTTGATCCCCTTCCAGTTGTTCTCCACAGTAGTTCCTTCTCCATTGAGTAGATCATGAAAGGCCTGGAACTTGTTGCCGAGGACTATCTTGAATTTGTTGAGTTTGTTAGTGTCCTGAAGAAAGGTCGTATTGAACTTTTGTGATATTGTCCGCCCCATTGTCCAGTACTTCTTGAGTTTCAATTTCATCTTGGCGACCAGCAAGTGATGATCTGATGCTATATCAGCTCCTCTCTTGGTTCTCACGTCCTCTATAGTCCTCCTGAACGTTTTGTTGATGCAAATATGGTCGATTTGGTTTTGTGTAGTGATCCGGTGAATTCCATGTGGTTTTGTGTATGCGTTTATGTGGGAATATGGTGCTGCTTATGACCAGCTTATTGAAGGCACATAGATTTGCAAATCTCTCACCATTTTCGTTTCATTCTCCCAGTCCGTGTCGTCCCATGATGTCTTCATATCCAGTGTTGTCCGTCCCAACCTTGGCATTGAAATCTCCCATCAGAATGGTCAGGTCCTTTGTTGGGCACATCTCGACGATTGACTGCAGCCTATTGTAGAATTGATCTTTAGCGTCTTCATTGTAGTCGTTGGTAGGCGCATAGCATTAGATGACGTTCATTGAAATGCCCTCTTTGTTTTGAAGGAGGCTCTGATGATCCTTGGTCCATGAGATTCCCATCCTATAAGTGCATTTTGTGCTTGTTTGGACAGCACCAATACAACTCCTTGTGTATGTGGGGAATTTTCTTCTTCATGGCCGGAGTATAACAGAAGCTCCCCTGAAGCTAGTCGTTGTTGTCCAGCTTGGGTCCAATGTGTTTCACTGATCCCAATCACCTCTAAGTTGTATCTCCTCATTTCTGCAGCAATTTGGAAGGCTTTCCCGGTGTCCCACATTGTACGAACATTCCATGTACCTAAATAAATGGTCGCTCTGGTTGTCAGAAGGGGCATCGGCCTCGTAACTTCCGAAGGAATTCGGCTTTCATCATGAGGCGTCATGGTTCTTCTAAATGAAGACCTTCTGACTCCCGGGGCAAAGTTTAAAAGGTTCGAATGATTTTTTCTGGTTAGCGTATTTTTAGCGAGTTAGTTTTCTACGGGATGGGGACGCCGTCAAATAAATATCTCAATGATTTCAAGTATGTTAATCCGTACTTTAGAATGTCAGTTACGAATAACGTTAGCATCTGGATTAAAATATACATCAACTCCAGAGTTGTTACATCAACACACGGAGAGGAAATTAAAAAGACAGGAAATGAAAGAAAGTCTAGTCATATTAGTAGTAGTAACAGTAGGAAACTAAACACAGTTCTAAAACAACTTTTAAGAATGTCTTCTTCCATTTCCTTGTGACCGATTGATTTCCAACCATTGTCAATCAAAGGTATCTGATACTTGATTAAGAATATATACCAATAAACCCATATTATCCAGTATAACTCAATTGAACTCAACACAATTGGTCTCATATACCCCTTACATAAGTCATCTACCGTAGTAAATGATTGATTTTTGCTATATGAATGGTGGTCTCCAAATTTGTTTAACTTGAACGCTGTTTTATTTTGAAAAAAACAACAGTTGTCATTTGACAAGGCACTGAAAATAACATAAAAACAGACTGCGGGTATTAATGGGTATTACATTAATACACTTATTTTCAGCCTTCATATTATCTAATTTCATATAACAATAAATACTTGTGAAGGTAAAAAAGATTATGATTTATGTAAAAAACTAACCAGTCAGTAACATAACTTTCCAAATTCCGATAAAACTTTTTAATACGTTTCAGCGCGCGATTTCGAGAATGAGAACATGTCCATTTTTCAGATGTTAAAGCTGATAAATCCCTCAGTGTGGTGTTTGCTGACTTTACTTCCGGATCATCAGTCTATAAAAGTATTTAAGAATGAAGAAGGAAAATATTTTACGGGGGGGAATTATACTGAAAAACACTATTTTAGACAAACTGTATATGATCGCTTTCTACAAATGAGATAATATTAAAAATTATGTTTGAAAAAAAGACCTAGAAAACCACCCACTAAAGTTTTACTACTTTGTAACTAGAAATATCAGTTAACAAAAATCCTTTAATGGTTATCTGTATTAATTAGTAAAAACAATGTCGGATAAGAAAGTGATATTTATGATTTATCAAAGCAGTTAATCGAACCTCACAAGTGTCCATTACTTTAATGATGTCTGACTTATGATTGTTGTCGATCACTTTTCTGTGAACTTTTGCTGACGATATATCGTTATGAATCCCCCTACAAGAGTAATTTATTACAAAGACCTTGTGTGTATGTAATAGGTTTTTAATGACGGTTGTTGACTTCATAATGACGCTGAAGAAACGTATGTACTATTTACTTTGTACACATTCTCTCAACAAACCACATTGATACAATGTAAATGATAAAAGCCAAATATGAATTGTATTTGGGATACGCAATATTTCAGACATGATAACACTGAGCGGTAGAAAAGCAAATGAATGACGTGACAATTGTATAAAGCATTGGAAATCAGTAATACACGGAATAACAAAGTGACTAAGTTTCTGTAAGTCATATAAGAAATATAGGAAGTGGATCGACACACACGTACTATCATGCACACAATTATAAAGTAGTGATCAGGGTTACAGTTGAATAATTGACAATCACAAATAAGGTGACGGGACAGATGGAAAGATTAAAATAATTTGCCCGTCTAAAAGTTAGCACAAATCATGTAGGTATGTAATAATAAGCATCGCTACACGTTAAAAAATAATATCCCTATTCGCGAACACTTTTTTTGCAAAGGATTTTACTAGTTTTCGGTTGCTGTGTCAATTGTGCTAGCCCTGTTTCAGAAAAAAAAGCTAAAGTTGACAATGTTCCAACCACAATTTTAGGCCACAAGTATTATATCTAAACACTGAACAATATAACCGGGGTACGTGCCAAGGTAGTACAATATGCCACATACAATTAAAATAACCGTCTACACATATGTAATCAGGAACATTCTGACATCCAATAAACATACATTGAATAGAAGTACTGTCCACTTAGCAAATACAATCTCCTATGCAATCTATTTTGTCCTTCTACATAGTTGGACTATTCAACCCTTATTAAGCAGTCTTTTGATCATTACCAATATGGGTATGAGACATTCATTAAAAGACATATCACGAAGTTCCTCTAAGTATTGAGAAGTAATGCATTTCAAAAACCATGATATATATATATATATATATATATATATCGTTGTACTGAATCATCACGCAAAATAAGATGATGTACTCCTATTTGGTAAAAATAATTTCAGGTGATGTTCGTCAAAATTGTCCCGTTTCTCCATTTCTATATTTGCCATAGACATTCGCTTAGAAACAACGCCCTCATCGTCTGAGTCTGGTCTCCTACGAGTAGATGCACTTGTTGACTTAGAATACACAGATGATATGGTTCTGCTTCGTAAAATTGCTGACAAAAAGCAGTCTTCTGATAATCTTAAGCAATAATTTAGCCATGTTTAGAACGGATTTTCCTCCTGCATTAACGTGTGAAATGTTGCTTCAGGCCTGTCCACATAAATGCCTGAACCAATTGAGAGTAGAATAGTTGAGTCCAATGACTGACTGACTATTTCATTAATATCGAGTTTCATTAACCCTGGTGGGTTGATGTTCACCAAAATCTCGGTTGGCTTCTACCAACTCACTTCGTTTGCGGCGTAGGTGAGATGTTCATCTGCCAACCAAGGTGCGAGTATACTGCTTAGCGGTCCGCTTTGTATTACTTTATGATTCTGAAAAATGGTCTATTAAAGTAGGAGAAATGACACAAGCTTTTGATTATAAGCACCTTAGGAGCATTACTCGCGTACCTGAGTACCCAATGCTGAGGTCGGATACAAGGTATTAAGCAGACAGCAAATCGATTGGTGAAGTTGTTAATCACCAATGGTAGTTTGGGGACATGTGTTACGTATGCCCGACAACCGCCTACCTCGCCCCCAAATGCCCTGATACGGCCGAGAGTGGGGAGAGTCAACTCTCCCTCTCGAAATGCTCTCACATGGCTACGTGAATAAGACAGCTGCCATGGAAGCCCTATACACTGCCTTTTCGCATAATTACTGTTGCTTACGAGATTCAGATAACAAAAAGAGAATGTCCAGCGCTTTGACGGGGTTGGTGGATAAGGAGGGTCCACCTAGGGGAGTTGGAAACCCCTGATTCCAAACCACTGGTGCACATGGGCTTCAAGATCCTGAAGAAACAAATGGCGTATGGACCAATCGTTGGTCACCGGCTACCATGGGACTGCATCTCCTTACGCTGCTCCACTGCCTTGGGGATTAGACCTTTAGGTCGAAGGCTCCGGGCGTGGTCCCCTAATAAAACCACCTGGTTCGGTTTGGGCACCCGGGCAGTACCTTAGCACTCACACAAATCGAATGATTTATGTGGTGCATATCTATCTGGTGCCTTCAAAGTTATCTAGAATAAGAGTAGACCGGAAGAGACGACCAAACAAAAACTCCGGATTACACAATGAAGTTACTGACCATAGAACTAACTCGTTTTGATGTACGGAGAATTCCTTGTCAGTGTTAGCGAGATCGCCGCGACTAATAGTTAGAGATCGAGTGACGTGATACAGTTGTACAGACGCATTCTATTTTTATATAGATCTTGAGTTTCTTATTCCTCCATAAACATCTTTCAATACCTCCTTTTCAAAACATATACTCCTAGAGTTTAGTCTATCGCATTATCATTGGTACCACAATTACTTCTACTCATCAACGATTCATTTTGTCAGTTTCATCTCGTTAGACTGATCTGCTATGACAACCTAGGCTAACGCACGTTTGTGCAAGGTTTTATGTTGATTATGACTGAATGTGTTTTTAAGCGTTAACTGTGTAAACTTGAAAAACAAATGTATAATATTACTCGATTAGGAACTGTTAGTAATTAGGATTCACGATAACTGAATAATATCCGACGAAGAACAGAACAGTGAAGAAAAAGCAAATAAATTCTATCAGACTAACCATGGTAATGAAATATTTTTTACTGTTAAAAATAATAGATGAGTATGACTCTTGACAGTCTTCGTTTTCAACTCTTTGTATTTTACTGGGACAACTATTTCGTGCACTTGAAATTCCAGTATTCTGAAAGCACAAAACAAGAGTACGAACGAGATTAAACAACCTAGAACTGTTTGTGCTACTATGATACATAAAAGCCTGTTGACGAAAATGTGAAAAGTTATAAAAGAGATATAATTTTAAGATTGTTCTCATGATGGATTAATACATCACTGAGAGAACTGCCACAAACCAGAGAATTAAGGGCAGCTATTTCGTTGTAGTTGATAAGTCATTAGAAGTATACACAACTACAAACACAATGTCCAACTAACCAATCGCATAAGATAATGAGAACTGATTGAACATTTATTTATTTGAACACATAAATATTGGTACAAGAGAGCGCCAATATATATGCGCCACACTGATTGAACATGGAGTGTGTAAAATTGAATACCAACAGACTGATTCACTGAGAAATCGGGTTTCATTTTGTGTGAAGTCATGTTTACACACAGCGGCTGAGAAATATTAAACTATGACAAAATAGTGAGTAACGAAAGGATTATTTTTAGTTGATCTCCAACTTTGATGAAAACTATTCAAAATAGAACTGCCCCAAAAAAACCACTAGACTCAAAATAAACATCTTTAGGTGATATATGGCAGTTTTATATTTTTCATACACAAACCATTCTTGTAAGTGTATTGAAAATAGAAATATAGCGTGATTTACTTTTATGTATTAGTGATTCATAGGGTTCAAAAGCCTTACATGTACTTCAATCCGAAAAACAGAATAAAAGGACTTCTAATTACCTTATACACAGTAAATGTATTATATGAAACAGAAAAGTGATTGTGAACTGAAGCGATGATCGCTTCGGTAATGAAAATATTTACAGGTCCTTGCTTGTTTCTGAATCAAATATAAGTACGTTAAGTGAACTCGATTAATAATGAAATGGGTTTGATTTTTAAGAGGATGCGTACTGACAAGCAGCAGAACAAATAGAATGTACCACGAAAAAATTGAAGTATTTAGTATTTTACACAATAATTGGTGACCGCTAATCTCCATGGTCGTTTAATATAAACAAATGTATCACCCGAGCAAACTAAACAATTGTTGAAAACTTTGTAAATACGATTGTCAAGTTAGGTTACAATACGGTAAACAGCATCTGTCTGTGAAGTCAGTGGATTTTGGAATGAGCAGTGTGGGGAGATATAAGTTTCATGGTTGTTGTCAACACAATTGCCGAGATCAGTGACTGGAAATTTTGAGCGATATGGCTTAGAACCAGTCATAGGCATTCAGGTGCATTTACTTTATTGCAAGACACCAAATTATTTCATCCTCTTTGAAACACATTTTTCAGTTTACCTGTCCTCACTATAACGGATACTGCTATTATTTCGACTCACTCGCTATTCACGTTGCTACCTTCATCCTACTCTGTTTATGTGGTATAGTAACATTGGCTAATGAAAGTTTGTGACAGGCTTTATTTTGATGATGACTGTGCGGATGTAATGAAGTATCACGCTTTTTAAAGTATATTATATTATGAAAGGCTGTCGGTTGAGAAAAACCAGGGAGTACTGAATGGCTATGTCGTTTTAGTTCATGACTCGTTAGTAGTACGTGCTCACAACCCCACTAGTGAGTCTGATTATGTACAAGCTAATCTTCATTATGAACACCCCTTGTAAAACCATATATTTAAATTTTGATAAATTTAACAGTTTAAATTCATTAAATATATGACTCTGGTAAGTAACTTACTATTCGAATATTTGAATGGTCAGATAAACTAAGTGATAACCTTCTAGAACTTATGCCGGTGGAACACGATCCTAAAATATTGGATGAAAGCTTGTGATCAGATTTTGCATCTCTCGTCGGACAAGAACAACAACGAACACGTATTTTGTCAAGGCCAAAGATTGTGAAATTCTCTTGATTAACTGATTCACTGGAGCAATCAAAATATTTATCGTGAATTAAAAAATATTTCCAATATGACTTGAAGATATAAAGCTCTGAATGAACTAAATAAGACATTCTATGACAGCGTTGTGGGACAAAAGACAGCCGTATAGGACTAGCATCGGTCAGTCCATCACGACTTTGACTGGAGTCCCATATATGTAGCTCGGCGGGTTCAGATGCCATCATTTATTATTCAAAATTGATTCCAGTAGCGATCCTTTCACCGCTTTCTATTACACTCTTCGTAAAAGTAAAACGAGTTCCTCCAACAGTCTTTTTTGGTTGTATTTTTAACTGAACTGTGTCTTGCGATAAATACCATCTTCGTAGATTTATTTATTGGCTGTACTAGCCATTTCCTCTTTTATTTGTTTAAAAATTATCGCTTTATTTTATTAATCCATTTTTCGGTGCACTATTGTAACTGAATTTACGTGCTTAAATAAATAAATACTAAATTCAAATACAAATTTCAAGAGACTATCAGGATGATTTGATCTGACCATTAATGAGAACCTCTTGCATAGTAGCGTATCAAACAATATTGAATGTTTGAATAACATCGATACTAACTGCACACAGATATTTTAACAATATTCGTAACTGCAGTTTCGTAAATATGATTGAAATCTTATTTATCAACAGCCACAGCAGTGGTCGTTTTGTAGAATCATGAGACTCTGAATAGGTGTGTTTTGTGAATTTAGCAGCCTATAAGCAAGTAAATCACTTTCGATAGTATATTACTGAGCTAATTATTATTAAAGTTGATCTATTAACGACTCTAAACTTGATATGATCAACCACACCACTAGCTTATCAAACAACAGTAAGATTTTGAAAGTAGCGAAGAGCATTTTTGCCGGTTCACTCAAGTTATTCTCCAGAAAAGCCAATGGTTTTAAGAGTTATATATTACTACACATTACAATTTAAACAAAGTTACAAATGATATTTTGATGAACAAAAAGTTACTAGAGAACAACTAAAATGCCTTGCAACTCAAGGTAATGAGGGATAGCTAGGTCCTTAATATTCTTAGTTAAGGAAGACATTTTTATTATACTTTAACATAAAGCTACTTTTTATCCGCACAACTCATTTTAAGGAGATATGTTCAGAAAATCGTCGAAGTTCCTAGATATTTGTTGATCTATAAGTGTTATATTTCATTATTACAGTACGCCTTATTTTGAAGATAAGCGCTAAACAGACTCAATAATTTTGTTGGTCTCCAATTAACAGACCGTTTTCATGTACCAGAAAACTTCAATATTCATATTCAGAATTACTCACCAGTAAAGCTTTGATGTCATCTTGCAAATCTGAGATCGTATCCTAGCACGCAATAAGTTAAACCACTGATAATTCGGTTAGTAAATACATAATAGTTAATATGGACGTCTAAAATAGATTGGATATTTGAGACAGTACACTAAACCAAAACCATCTTTGCGATTTGATCCATAAAAATAGCGGACTACACATTTCAAAGAAGGATTAAATTTTAGCATATAGAACAAAAAACGGATCGCAAATTATTAAAACCGAAACCGCGACTTATGGAATAAAACGACTCACTCATTCTTTGCTTCAAGGGTAATAACTAACTCAATTTCACCTCGAGCTGTTAAACCAAAACAACTGTTGTAACAGCTTAGTCTACAATACAAAACCCCCCTCACTTCTGGTAATAATGAGATATCCGAATCGGCGGTGTTAGATGGAGCTTCTGACTTGGAGTGAAGGAGATGGAGCACATCAATAGGTGTACGGACGGTAATTTGGTCACGAGGGCAATTTGAGAGGGGGCTGCCCAACACATACTCCGAACTTTCCCCAAGAATTTCAACAAATGATTTTCCTTTTGATATGTAGGAACCAGATGTTTGAATCTCGTGCTTTTTGCACCTAAAGTATAAAATATAAAATAAAAATTCCCAAACCTTTGAACGACTTCACCACACTTTTCTGCATACGAAAACAGTGGTGTAATTCGAATCCAAAAATTCATAGGAGTCACTGGTGGTCGAAAAGAAAACGTTATCGGCCACACACGCATAGACGGGACATAAACTTTTTGTATTGAATTTGTTGTAATAACCTAAAGGAAATATTTACCAAACCCCACCTACTTGATAAGCGTAATGGCGAGATCTGTTTGGTGGTTCATCAGATACCCAAACCTTATAGCAGTAAACACCAGCAAATGGTGCACTGTTGATGTAAAAGAACGAATGAATACTTACAGACTACCATGAGATTTGTTTAGAAACTTCACGATTGGAGCTTTGGACATGATCTAAGAAAGTGAGGCGCATTAAAATGTTTACAACTCATCATACTGAACTGCTACGAATAGCCTGTTCGACGTCTAGTGATAGCTCATTGTTATTTTCTTTATCATCATCCATTAATTTGAATTTCGAATCCATTGAATTTGAATACTCTACGATTGTTAACAAATGAAGTTTAATAAATATTTGGAGTAATTAATGGACATATGTGCAGCGTTATAAAGTATAACATTACAAAAATACGCAGATGTATCAGTAGGGATTGTGTATAAAAGATAAGGAAATATGTTCAAGACATTATAAAGTCCTGTTCCAAACACTCGGTACCATTAATGGCTTTATTCAATATTACATTATTGGTAAAGTATAGAATCCTCAACATAAGGTATTTCAATAAATTCCTTTAGGAAAAAGGAAAAATGAGAGAAACTGATAACTCCATGCATACATACATCAGTCAAACTACTTGGAATTAAACGAACAGTTAGTCCCATGATCATTTGAATTTACACAACCTTCTTGTTTAGAAATATGTTTAAGAATAAAAGTTATTGATTAGATAAACTATATCGAGACTTCCATAAATAACTACTGAGTAAAGCCCTAACTAGAACACTGATAAACATAATCAGTATATTTCCAGAAGCCTACATGTTAAATGAGCATATGCTAAATAGATGCGATACGACACCAAATCGGCTTTCTGGTCTGCCAAACTCTAGACACCTGAATATAATGCATTTTATAGAGCTAAAATGTCATTATTTACTGAGCTTTAGGAATACATGAAAAATAATGAATTCTCCATGAGGTAAATATAGTTAGCGTAAAGTCAAATTGCTACTGACCAACGTATCACTATACAATTTCATGCACCCACTCAAAGACAGACCTTGAAATACTGACGCTGTGGCTCAATAAAACAAACAGATGTGGTTATCAAAAACCTGATTTCGTTGATTTTAATACCGTTAACCCGTGTGCTGAAAAAAACGAACTCAGATTCTAGAGCAAACATCTTAAATCGGTTTCTTGGAGATGTATAAGGAATGCCACAAGCATTCAGAGTTTGACAACAGCTTAACCAGGAACACGTTTTTGATCGAATTGTGCCAACTCGCTCAAATTAGAAACCAGAAATGAAGGAGTTCGAAGATATATTTAGAAGGTCGTCGTTATATCGAGGAATATTTTATCTAAGCTGACTAATACTTGAAAGGGATGTGTAGCATGGCTTACCCACTCGTGATCTGGTGCGGATGCGTGACCGAATGTCTTCAGCTAAGTTGGTCCTATAAGGTTAACGTTGTTAGCATCAAATGTCAATAACATACATAACTATTGATTTTAAAGTCTATATGGCGCTACAAACATGTCAATATATATAGCTTATGCCATGTACTTAGTTCTAAAGTTCCACTAGATGATGATTCTATGGAAAAACAACATTTCCAAGGCTTGTGAAATTGTGGGGTGTCTCTTCAAATACTCTCTTTTAGGACACAATAAGAATGAAGGATTTTACGCGCGAAATTATTATTACTTAGTTTAAAACCTGTGATTAAGTTACCTCTGCTCCTTGCGTGTTAAACGAATAATATATTTAGTTTGACCTGTCTCTCGTTATACATCAGCTTTGTGCATCTGGAAGTTAACTTATTCAGGATTGTTTTAACATTATTTAAAAACTATATGCTTTTTAGTCTGAGCCTGACCGAATGTGCACAATCTAAAAGCCTAGGTCTGATGAACAAGTACACCTACGTGAATAAGAACCACATGAACTGGCGAGGGGGTTCTTATTGTTTTTGTGGAACTTGTCTGTCAGTATGCAGTGGCTTTTAATCCCTGTCTGGCAACAGCTTCTAAAACAACATATTTGGATAAAGGGTAGCTCGGTATTGTTTGTGTTTGTACCTGGGTGACTAATGAAGATTGTAATACACTTGCATACGTTTGTTGTCATATCTGTAGATTACATTATGGGTAACTTCCAGAAACTATTTGTAGACTGCTATTGTACACATTCTTATTATATAACTGTTAAGTATCTAGACTATGTATTTTTATATTTCTTTTATCGGAAGCATTTGTTTGACCTACTGACTACTATTATAAGATTTACTATACTTAATTTAATCCCAGTTCACTAGTTACAGGTTTTCACAACCACAAATACTTGTTAGCTTGATCTTGTATAATTTTTATTTTTTATTTTGTGGCCTGCTGAGGTCTGGTTTGGTTGTAAATAAATTAGGTGTGTCGGAAATGCGTTATTCATACAGTGTAAGCTAAGATTGTGTCCTAGACTCAGAGGATAAAGATAGGCAAAAAGAACCAATAAGGACTCAGCGTTGACTCTGGGCTGCTCATACTGAATAATGCGTCATTGACTTGGCACTGTATCAAGGTCATATACGCCGATCTTCCGAGTGGCGGTTTGGTCACGTGATTATCGACAGGGAATGTCATAACATTTATAGGCGACAGACCATCCGGGTAATTTCTGTTTATTACTCTGGAGGCCTGAAATGTCGACCCCAGTCCTTATCGCTCTCTGTCTCTCAACATCGTTAGGATAAATACAAGTTATTGATGACAGGGAACTAGAAAGGTCTTCTGAGTACAACAGGAATAGCACTTGTTCCGAGTGTTTGAAAACTAAAGCTTTCGTGTTGTCAGACAGCAAGCCGTTTGATTATATGTGACTTAGAAACATAAACAAGAATTGAAATTACATTGACTGAGTAACGAGTATGTAGCAATAAATAAGTCCCCAAAATAATTGATCACGTAAGTCTTCGTTACTGACGCTGACTTTAACGGTTTATCCGAATACACCTCTAGTCGAAGGTGCTTCGTCAAGCATCAGCATCTGATCACGATTGGGTACTCTGTTCCTCATATCTCCCATGATAATTAGATGGCTTATATCCCATGAACAATTCCACACTGCTTTTTAATCCAAGTTTATGTTTACATCTCATCAGTTTAAACTGCCGGTTTAATCGGCTTTGAGTTCACTGCTTTAGAAGTGTTTTCTAACTGTATCCTCATCAAATTCTGATAGTCCCTGATCTCTTAAGGTTGTCTTATAAAGCAATATACGGAATTAGAGGCAAAACCAATCGGTCAACAAAATATTTGAGATAATGTGTGTAGAAAAGATCAAAGTATATGGTGAAACCTTTTCACATAAATTTATTCTGTCATTCAAAAAACGTACTCAGGAATGGACTTTCTCATAATGGTCGAGGTTTGTTTTGAAGATGAATAGAAGTAATACTGCTTGTGCAAGTAATAAACATAGATCCATCAAAAATGATGGAACGACACTTTAGACTTTATTCTTCATTCCGCAAAGCCACTCACATTGTCTTGGTTTCCATACCCTGGACGCTTGAACAGAATACCGTTGATCATGGAATTATTATCATTGTTCAAAAATAGCTCATTGATGCACAGGTTTTGTGAATAAACTGTTCCCAATCTCTTCAGAAACGCAACTATGTAAACGTTTCGATATTATTCACATAACGTTCGGCACATTTATCAGGGTCCTGTAGTATTTAGAAGGTTATTAGGTTGGTCTTAAAGAAGGGAATAAAGAAGAATTAATTGTGTAAATAATCTGACAAGTATGTTACTGGAACAATAGGAATAGATGGTGCCACATGCATTACAGAAAGGACTCAGCAATACATAAATAATGAAGTGAGATTTGGATGGTGTTTGAATGAACCAATGATTCCTCTGTACTTGTCAAATGCTTGGTTCCGAATTCCAAATACAGTACATTCATTTGTGCTTATCGAGTACTTCATGATCCAGTTGTGTTATTTCTGGGATTCTTAGTTCATACTACAATTCAAATACTCCTAACTATTATATTGGCTTCGCTAAGGAGCCTGCGATGAAACAGTTAGATATCCATTCAACTTCGAAAGCTTTTGAGGATTATTTGGAAAGGTTTGAAATCTGGATCATAACCAAGAAAGATGTTAAAGGTGATAAGATTGTGGCACATTTCCTAACATTCATCATAAGAGAAGCGTACAGCTTATTAAAAACTTTGGCATATCCAGAGAAAATTATCTCACTTCCTTATGCAACTCCTAAGGAGCTATTATTAAATCATGTAAAGTGCACCAGTATTGAATGTCGTGAAAGGGCGAAATTTCATAAGATGGTTCGTCGAAATGACCAAAAGGTTAAGGAATTCATCCTTGAATTGCAGAAGCAAGCTGCCAAATGTAATTTTGGTTATCAACTTCATGTGTGACTGAGAGATCGATTAGTTGCAGAAATAAATATACTGAGTTTGGAAAGAGAGCTGTTAAAAATGCCGAACTGTTCCTTTCAACATGCTAGAACTGCGTGTATTAAATATGAGGCGGTGAATGGACTTGATATCCAGTCGATGAAAATTTCTAATACTTTGCTTAGTTGTCATAATGAATTACAATCCCAGGGTCAATCAAACTTGCGTTCGTTTAACAGTGATTCCTATTCTCGTGTAAATATGAAAGGTGTTTCAACGAGGAATTACAAAGCAAATCACAAAGTGAGATGAAGTTTAGTAAATGTTTATCATGTGGAAAGTTTCATTTTCGGAATTCATGTGCATTTCGTAATGCTAAATGTTTTAAATGTGGTAAGGTAGGACACATTCAGTCAGTAGGCAAAGCTACGGTTCATTTTTCTTCAAGTAGTACCAGATCTTATAATTAAGATCCCAATAATTTGGCTGTTCCTCATAATCATTTATCTTTGTCCACCATTTCTAAAGGTAATACTCATATTCAAAAGCAAATATATACATCGCTTGGTTCATGTCATGGCTTTATTGTGAACACAGGCAGTATAGAGTCCATTATTTCATCCAAGAACTTGAAATCTTTAGATTCTAACGTTGTGACACGACTCACTGAAGTCTCAATTTCGAAGATTACTGGACACAGACTGCCTATTCGAATATGTTGTGAATCCCTAATAAGAGTGATGCTTTACCTAAAGATTTGATAGCTACGTGTGCTAAGTGCAGTGGAGGTATGAAAATTCAGCCTATAAAACTTCAAGTACAAACCGATCCAGTCTTTTTTAAAAGAAGAATAGTTCCTTATGGTCTTCGAGAAGCAGTACATAAGACATTGAACGACTTTTATGCGAAAGGTATAATTGGACCAATTCAGTCTTCAGCATGGGGTACTCCTATTGTTACGCCACTGAGGTTGGACGGCAAGACCCCTAGAATATGTGGTGACTATAGATTAACGTTGAACTCCCGTTTGTTGAAGCAGACGTGTAAGTCAGTAGAGGCTGAAGATATTCTAAATCGACGTCTTGGTTGTAAGGCGTTCTCGAAAGTTGACCTAAATGATGCTTATCTTCAAATCCCTTTAGATGAATCTTCATCTATTTTGACGACAATTAACACTCCTTTTGGTCTGTTCAAATACAATTTCCTTCCATTTGGTCTAAGTTGTTCTCCAGCCATATTTCAGGAAGTTATGAATAAAGTAGTTAGTGATCTTGAAGTTGTTGAAGTTTATCAAGATGATGTCACTGTTCATGGTCCTGATAAGGTAGTTCATGACGAGAGACTTATTGCTTCATTGCGTCGTTTAATTGAGAAGTGTATTACGGAAAATCCGAACTGGTGTCCACCTTGTGTATCTAGTTTAGAATGTCTT